TTTGGGCCACTGTTCGCTTGGCTTATAAGCCTTACTTTTTCAGCCAACGAACAATATTTTTCTCTCACAACAAATCAGCTAACAGTACTTTCAGTCCATGGCTTATCAGCCAAGCGAACATGGCATTGCCTGCCATCTTCGTGTTTGGCATTGACAACACCAACAGCTCCTACTAATGCAATGCTGCCCCTATGTGTAAAACACACTTTTGTTGCAATATGTACACACATGGTTCATTGTCCTACGTTTTCAAAAACATTGCAGAATGGTCATGTACCAAACTTTTATGCTTCTATATGATGACATCCAAGCACAATGAACCCATACACACCTATCGCTCTTATACGACGTTATTGGTTGCTTCGAGGTCGGCGGTGGGATGGTGGCCCTGTCCAGTCTCTTCCTAGCCGGCATAAAAGCATTCACCTACCTTTGTTTGGTTTGGTTTAGCTTAGCTGTCCTGGATGATATTGATTGATTCTGTTTGGTTGCCCCTGTTGATCGTTTTGCTATATGAAGTGGTGGTAGCGTTTGTGTTTGGTTGGGTGCACGGCCTGGGGTGCGAGCACCCGTGTACCGTTTTGGTGTGGTTACCACCAGCTATTGTAGAATAAAGAACAATAGCAGGAAATAGAGATAACTTTGCCTCAGTTCAACAAGCTTGGCATCGACAATGACCTTGGAGCTTCTAATGACATAAGTAAACTTGAGAACATATGCAATCTCCCACGTGGCAAATAAGAACACAAATGTGGAGAGGCATGTTTATGGCTGCCATGGAAGCGTGGAGCACAATAAAGCAACAACATGAATATATGCAAAAGTGACAATCCATCACCAGGTGTTAATGTCTACACAACACAGATCAACACAGCCTCACATCCATCACCATGGCTCCTATGCTATACAAAACTAGGTGTAGCCTTGGTCAAGCGGCAAATGGTTCTTTGTAGCACTAGATGAGGTCAGTGCTACACATGAAAATACTTCCTACAGCATAAGGCAGTTAGCATGGCTATAAGCAAAAGTGGAGAGGCCAACTCATGCATCTAAGCAAAGTAGGTTGTGCTCAAGTAGGTCCTAAGCCACGAGATCCTATGAGCCTCTGTCATCTGAACAAAGCAAAGTCCCTCAGCCTTGTTCTTCAGCAGGTAAACTAGGGCAAACATGAGTGCCTCCTGTGAGTACCCAGGGCAGGCCATAACACAGCCATAAAGGTCCTAATGTACCTCATTGTGATGTGGAGTCTTGAGGGCATCTCCTACAGACTCCACAGCCTTGATCATTCCATTCATGAGGTCTATTTCCTTTTGGGCAAGCTTCCTTCTCTTGCCACCCCTTTCCTCCTAGCCCTTGGCATCAGAACCCTTAGAGCCTTCCATACCAGAAGGAGTTTCTTTTCTAGAATCAACATCTGTGCCACCTAAGTCAGTGATGTCCTCACCGCCATCTATATCACCTTGGTCAATGTCAGTTGGAGTACCCAAAGGCTCATTTGAGCCCATTGCATACCTGCCTGTGGCCTGGTTACCACCAAAGATGGCCTCCATCTGAATATAGTTCTCTATTGGTATGTTCAAGAACTTAGCATCATCAGGGTGGTCCTAGTTAGTGAAACATATATAACTATTAGACATAGGGGAGCAAAAGAAAAGGATAGCTGAGGTGTTGTCCATAGAGCACCACTCAAATCTTTGAGCCTAACAATCTTAACCTACCTTTGCCTCCACTTTCTCAGGTGATTGTAAATCTGTTGGGTGGTCACATTGACCTCAGCAAACTCAGAGACCATGAGTGCAACCTACCTAATATGCACCTCCTTGAACCCTTTGTCAGTTTTAACCCCCTGCCCCACCAAATCATGGAACCTCCTTAGCATGAACCCAGACTAGATAAGAGTCCAGTGCATAGGGCCATTGGGCTGAGGGGCTGCTGGATTGCCATCATCAGCAACAATTGTGAAGAATACAAGAGGCAAGAACAAGCTTAACTTGGGTCTTGTATGGGTGGAAAGATTTGTTGTCCAATATCATGAATCTATTCTTTAGAGCCCTAAAAGCCCTCTCAACTGTTACTCTAAGAGACGAATGCCTTAGATTAAAAAGCTCCATTTGATTTTGAGGTCGGTTTGAACCAAACTCCCTCAAATGGTACCTTGCGGCATGAAATGGTGGCAAGAAACCAGGCCTCACTGCATATCCAACATCGACAAGATAGAATTTGCCTAGAAATTAGCAGATAGAGATATATTTTAGTAGTTTCATTTATGATTAAGCAAAGTGTCAATGGTTTTTTTGTGGTTTGGATGATACCTGGCGGCACTCTAAGGCCATCAGCTCTTTCAAGAGCATCAGACAAGATAAGAGCGTCATGTGCAGATCCCTCCCAACCAACAAGCATATAGGTGAATCTGAGGTCAAAGTCTACGGCTGCCGACACATTTTGTGTGATGGTGTGCTTCCTGCCTCTAAAGGCATCTTGCATCTTCAAAGGCACTCTAGCTAAGACATGAGTACCATCAATTGCTCCTATGCAGTCCTAAATCAACAAAACATAAGTGCAAGTGAACATTGACACTAAACTGATAATGAATGAGACCTATGTATGACAAGTTATCGATACCAACCTTGAAATAGGGGTACCACCTTCTGCTCCCAAGGATACTAGGATGGACATTGGTAGTAGGAGGGACAATCAATTCATTCCTCGGCTCTCCTACTGTATATAACACCTTCTGGAAGAACCTACTAATTGTCTCTGCGGACCTCCTGAAGGTAAGGTCAACCACCCTAAACCTCTCATTGTGACCAACAACATGCAAGAACATGGCTACTTGTTCTTCAATAGATGCATGTATGCTGTCAGTGACAAGCTCTCTACTACGAAAAAGGTCACAAAGTTGGAAAAAAGGGGCCATCTTCATTCTAAGAAGGTTGACATAGTACACATCATCAGATTCATAGATGTATCTAAGGTTGTTCATCCTCTGTTTGTCCCTCTCAGCCATGGGGCCATAGGTGACTGAGCGGGAATCTTCAACTCTCCTCCTAAACCACATGAAAAACCAAGCAACCACTGCAACAACCACAGCAGCGGCAGCCCTACGCCTAGTTTCAAAGGCCATGTCTACCAATAGGATGGAGGGCAACATTAGAAAGGAAGCATGCAACATGGGTGTGTACTGCTTAGCAAGCAAAAAATCAGACAAAATGAACTATGAAAGACGCGGCTGCCACACCAAAAGGTGCTCCTCCAGCGTATACTATTACACAATCAACATCACCAACCTCTAGGCACTTTGTTCAGTGTGTACAACAAAATAGGCATCAGCATGTACAAGATCTATAGAAAACATGAGGTATACACCAAATACGAAGCATCATGTACAGATCTGAGCTAGGAACAGGTAAATCAGGTATAGCATCGCACAGATCTGAGGATGTCAAACCGATAACCCTAATTTCTTGGCATTGCAAGCAAAATCCACAGATAAATCAACAAAATCGACACTGAAGGAGGAGGAGAAGAGCGCAAGTGGCATATACCATCGAAGCGTCGGAGGACCGAGAGAAATCCACCAGCGGTGGTCGCCTCGGTAGGGCTACCGAGGTCGAGGGGGAGCTAGAGGGGAGTTCGCACTAGAGCTATGGCGGAAGGAGAGGCGAAGAGTGAGGGCGGTAACCCTAGCCGCGACCCCCCTCCCCGCGTGCTTTTATCGTCAGGACGGCCTCATCTCCCACGCTCTCCGAAAAGGTTCCCGCCAAGCACCGCGTGAGCCTGCACTGAGAGGGAAGTGGAGATCGAGAAGACGGTGCTGCCCGGGATGGAGGAGGGCATCTGCACGAGAGGAAGCAGGAGAAAAGTGCGAGTAGGGCAACCAAACACGGGCGAAATGCACCAAAGGGTGCGGGATGGGCCATATGACGGCCTGGTTCGGGCAACCAATCACGCCCATAGTATCCCTACTCGCGCGAAGCGCGGGGGTTCTAGCTAGTAGAACAAAGAAAAAGGGCCATTTAAAGAGAAAATGACTCGAGCTATAAAAAAACAAAACAAAAAGAAAACAAAGCACGATCGAGCCCATTTCGACAATCCAGGCATGCCTGATGACAACGTGAGTACGTGACGTGTACAACCCGGGCCACAAGCCCAGAAATTGCATGCCTTCCTGGTCGGAGTGCAGCCCATTATTCAATCATCAGTAGTAGTAGCACTGTAGCAGAAGGCACGAGGCAGAATGGTTGTCGACCGCGGACCGCCGTAGCAGGGGCGAATCCAGCCATGAAGTTCACCGGGGTCATCACATTTATACAGTGGGGTCGTCGTCGTTGATGGATTGTGATATACAGTAATTCTCCACTAATTTTGCCATCAGGGGTCAGGCGAACCTGGTAACATAGGCCACATTCGCCCCTGCGCCGCAGGGTTCTCATTTCTCAACCGGTCGACACCTACATGTGCTGAACATCGCGGTGGCCGGTGGCAGTGGCACGTCTCCAAGACTTCAGTTGTTGCATCTGTGTTGCACCGTGGCGGCATGGCACAAGCTAGCGTGCATGGGGCGGCGTGTCGCTCAGCCGCTCACAACTCACACATGCCCGCTCGGACTCCAGCGGCATGCATGCTTGTCTGCGCAGCAGTCAGCAGAATGTAGCAGACGGCGTCACCACGACACCTCACCGCCCACACGGTGCCGACCTGACAGGGGCGCGCGCTCTCGAGTCCCAGGCTACTGCCGTGGCGTGGCGAGCCAGGCGGCCGCCACGTCGGCCGAGGCCACCCATCCATGCAAGCGGCGCACTGGAACGTGGCATGCCGGCGCGACGGCACGAGCGCGCCCCGCGCCATGCGTCGCGCGCGCGCTCGGGCCCCGCTCGCCTTCTATAAAGCAGCGCCGCGCGGGTGGCCTTGCTTCTGGTCTGTGGCGGATCGGATCGGACCGAGAGCTAGCTAGCGCGTGTGTGGAGAGTAGAACACGGCCCGAGAGGCCGAGACCGACCATGGGAGAAGCGTGCAGGGACGCGGCGGCGGCGGGCCGGCAGCTGCGGCAGGACGAAGCGGGCGGCGGCGGCGGAGGGCGTCATCACGCGGAGAATGAGCTCGTCGGTGACTCGGCCGTCTCGACGAAGCTGTGCGAGGACGTGCCGGCGATGCCAATGATGGCGCTCAACCACATTTCACGCTTGTGCGAGTCCGTCGACGCCTCCGTCCGGTTCTACGTCAAGGCGCTCGGCTTCGTGCTCATCCACCGCCCGCCGGCGCTCGACTTCTCCGGCGCATGGTACGTACGGACCACATATACTTAGCTTCTCCGGCGGGCCGCCGGCAGACTTGTCCGAACTCGTGTGTTGCAGGCTCTTCAACTACGGCGTGGGGATCCACCTCGTGCAGCGCGACGACGCGCGGAGGGCCCCCGACGTGAGGCCGGAGACGGAGCTGGACCCCATGGACAACCACGTGTCGTTCCAGTGCGAGGACATGGGGGCCATGGAGCGGAGGCTCCAGGCGATGCGCATCCGGTACATGAAGCGGACCATCAACGAGGAGGAAGGGTCGCCCATCGACCAGCTCTTCTTCAGGGACCCCGACGGCTTCATGATCGAGATCTGCAACTGCGAGAACCTGGAGCTCGTCCCCACCGACGCGCTCGGCCGCCTCAGGCTGCCCCGCGACCGCCACAACCCGCCCGTGCGCATGGGCGCCGGCGGCGCCGAGTAGACTAGGAGGCGTGCGCGTCCGCTAGTAGACTCGCCGTAGCGGGCGCTTATGCTGGATTCTGGGCCATGTTTCGCGCCGAGAGTTCAAGTTTTGAATTCGAATTTGTACTAGCTAGTTTGGTTTTGCTTTGGTTATCAGGAGTAGGAACTAAGCAGTTTTGGTATGTGCGTTTGGCTTCAAATCTTCCATTTCCAATGTTATAAAACTGGTTACCGTTTGGCATTCTATAAAAGCTGGGTTTATACCCCCGTCAAAAAAAAAAAAAATCTTCCATTTCCGATGTTATTTTCAATCCAGTATGCATCGTGAGTTTGTTATTACGTTAATCTGTCAATCTGAGGCATCGTTGGATTCCTAATCTGTACCTGATTGGGATTTAGGGAGTCTCCATGGGATCGGAGACTAAAGACTAAATTTTAGTTTCAATTAATGTCTTTGAACCAAACATCGAGAACTAAAATAGAGACTAGGGACTAAAATATAATAGTCCTTTGAGGCTGCTAATTAGGACTAAACAGTCCATACCTCTCACTCTCTCTCCTCCCTCGCAAAAATATAGTAGTCTCTTGGGGACTGCTAATTGAGACTAAACAGTCCGTACCCCTCACTCTCTCTTCTCCCTTGTAGTCTCCCTCCTCCTTTTTAGTCTCTTTTAGTCCCTAGATGTAAACATCATTTTAGTTCATGTTTTAGTTCCTATGTTTTAGTCTATAGTCCTATCACTAGAGAAAAGAACACACCCTTAGTCTCTGTTTGAGATGACGTTTACAATTTTGCACCCCTGCTAAACAAATCACCTTCTGTTATAACTGTATCGAATATTTATTTGTACTATTTATTTGTACTAGTTGAGGTTACACATCTATTATAAATGTGTCAAATATTTATTTGTACTATTTATTTGTCGGATATCAATATTAGGGATACCCAAAGCAAGAAAGTTAGCGCCCCCGCTGACTTCCCCGGATGGGGCAAGATGTATTAAAAAGTCTCGTCCAACCCCAAGGCAGGGGCTCGGCCTCGCCGACCGATCTGGTCTCGCTCTCGCCGACCCCTCGGGTGTGGGCTCCGTCTCGCCTCGACCTCGAGGTCAGGCTCCGCCTCGCCCCACCCCTTGGGGTGTGGGCTCTGTCCTGACCCATCATCGGGCTCGATCCGATAGTGACCCATTGGCCGCCGCCAACCACTCCAAGTCCAGCCGATAAGCCCCAGGTCAAAACTCACACCAAGTCCAGCGTATGAGCAGGCCGGTCAAAACTCGACACCGATGATGTAACCCGTGGCCATGACGGGCCGTCCTGAGGATTCACATCAAGAACAGCGTCGGGCGTGCCAGTGCTATTCTGCCTAACCCTCGTACAAACGCTGACAGACGCATCAGTTCACCACGATGTCTGATGGGACGGAATGGAACGCCATGACCGACAGATGACGCCTGCGTATGACGCCAGTGACGAATAGAGCCGCGACGTGGAGCCGTCCCTGTTGACATCTATAGGATCGGCGAGACCCGCATGAAGGAGAAGAAGGACCTGGTGATCCTGGAAGCCTTCTTCTCTCTCTCGTTCTTCTTCATTTCTTCCGCTGTAACCCGTGCTTTTTCTTCGCCTATAAAAGGGGAAGCAGGGCGCCCCATGAAGGGGGATCCAGATCCGCACAAGACCGAACCACGAGATAAAAACACAAGAGCACAACACGAGCACACGGTTGAGCAGCGATCGAGCTCTCAGCACCCGTTCACTCCTTTCACCGGAGACTTTGGATCCTTTCCCTCTCTGGTATGTTTATAACCCTTACTGCAAACCAAATGCCGGTAACACGAGCAACAACAAACTGGACGTAGGGACGTTTCGCCATAACCAGTATAAACCCTTATGTCCTCCGAGCACACCATCCGAGCCAGATGTGCAAATACAAATTTACTCGTCGGTGGTCCGAAAACATCGACATTATTTGTACTAGTTGAGGTTACAGTGGACTAGTGTTGTAATTAGCAGTATAGGGTTAGGTGAGCTAGGTGTTGGCTCTTGTAACCCGATCCCTGTATAAAAAGAGGAGGGGCTGCACATTTGTAACCTACTCCACCACTTGAGAGTAGCAACACAAAGGTGACAGGCTCACGGGGGTGCCGATGATTTTGGCCGGCGCCCAAGGCGGCCGGTGTCACGGTTTCGGGGAGAAGCACCCGTAAGCATGCCCCGGAGACGTAGGCTTCGTCGAACCTCGTTACCAAACATCGGATCTCCTGTGCAGTGTGTGTGATCTCTCGTGAGCATTTCGCCTTGGTAGATCGAAGCAATAGCTTCCGCGCCGATATCACAACACCTTCCAATCAGCGCTCTCGAAGATGGAACATGGTTGGTGATGCACACGATGTTCGTTCGCCATATACAACCGCCGACAGATTCAGATAACACGATTTTGTGCTGTGCCTTTAAAAAACACGATTTTGTGCTGAGGTGATGGTTTTTTTTCGAGAAATGACTAGGGTTGCCTGCAAATTGCACTGCATCCATGGGAATAGGGAGGAAAAAAAATTATGGCAGTAGGAAAAAAGGGAAAGGTGGATTTGTTTGGATTTTGGGAGTGAAACTCTTCTAAATATAAAAAATTGGATCCACACCACTATTTTGATTAGTCTTGGATCCTTCTCTAAAAAGTACAATCCTTAAACTATTTCCATTCTTAAATAGATACGATCTGCAGTAGAGATCCTCTTATCATGCTTCTCATAATCAATCGTTTTCAGTTAGACATTGAGCACGGTACTGCAATCAGCTCAAAAGGATTGGTAAAGGAAGATGAATTCTCGATCAATTGGGAAATTTTTATTTGGTTCATTGATTGATTGATTCTTCATTCCTTCCAGTGGGACCAGAGTCCAGTTAACGGCGCATATATGTGTGCAATTCACCTGATTCCGCTCGGTCGTGCGTGCACCCAAAACCTCCCGACTGCCGCAGCCATGCAAACCCTCGTCCTCCCCGACGTCATGGCCGTGGCGGCGGCGACGTCCGACGTGCCCTCGCGCACGCAACCTCTGCCCCGCCGCGTCTCAGTGTCGATGGCGCGGGCGCCACGGCGGGAGTCGGACCCGAAGAAGCGGGTGGTGATCACGGGGATGGGCGTGGTGTCGGTGTTCGGCAACGACGTGGGCGCGTACTATGACCGCCTCCTCGCCGGGAGCGGCGGTGCCGGCCCCATCGACCGCTTCGACGCCTCCGGGTTCTCCACCCGCTTCGCCGCCCAGATCCGCGGTTTCTCCTGCGAGGGCCACATTGACGACGAGAGCGACCGCCGCCTCGACGATTGCCAGCGCTACGCCCTCGTCGCCGCCAGGAAGGCCCTCGCGTCCGTCGGGCTCGCCCTCGGCTCCAGAGCAATGTACAAGGTCGGCCGATCACACGCCACGCACGCGGTTCGCTCACCGCTTTGCCGACCCCACCAATCTATTCTAACCATCGCAGCGGCCCGCAGATCGACAAGGAACGCGCCGGCGTGGTCGTGGGCTCCGGCAACGGCGGTGCGACGACATTCTCGGCCGGGGTGGAGGACTTCGTGAGGAAGGGGCCGAGGGGAGTCTCCCCCTGCACCATCCCGTTCGCGATGCCCAACGCGGTGTCGGCGCTGGTCTCCGTCGACGCCGGGATCGGCTTCCTCGGCCCCAACTACTCCATCTCCACGGCCTGCGCCACGTCCAACCACTGCCTCCACAGCGCCGCGGACCAGATCCGGCTAGGCCGCTCCGACGTCATGGGCGGCGCGGAGGCCGCCGTCGCGCCCGTCTGCCTCGGCGGGTTCGTGGCCCTGCGGGCGCTGTCGCGGCGGAACGGCGACCCCGGCGCGGCGTCCCGGCCGTGGGACAGGGACCGCGACGGCTTCGTCTTGGGCGAAGGCGCCGGGGTACTGGTACGTGCGCGCCGGCGCCGCGCTCTCGAGGGAACGTGTGCGTGCGTCTGTGCTCGTCGCTATTGTTCGTCATGCGGTGCGTGCGGCTCGTGCCACGCTGCAAGCTGATGACGAGGATGGATGATGCTTTGGTTGTCAGGTCATGGAGAGCCTCTAGCACGGGAGGCGGCGCGGCGCCCCGATCCTCGCGGAGTACCTGGGCGGCGCGGCGAGCTGCGACGCTCACCACCTGATGGACCCGAGGCCCGACGCCGTGGAGCGGCGGCGTGCATCAGGCGGAGCCTGGAAGACGCCGGCGTGGCGCCGGAGGAGGTATGGTGCCTGCCAAAATGCTTCGCCCATTGCATTGGCGTGAACGGGTTAGTAAGCTGCGTGGTGATCCATCCACTGAGAATCTGAGATGCATGCATCCGCTGCTGCAGGTGAACTACGTGAACGCTCATGCGACCTCCTCGCTTGCCGGGGACCTGGCAGAGGTGAAGGCACTGAAGCAGGTGTTCAAGAACCCGTCCCAGATCAAAATGAACGCGACCAAGGTGCTCGATCGATCTTGTATTTACTTGCGCCATGACGAATTGACGATGATCTGTTTTTGCTGCAACAACTTGGCATGAAGTTCGTGCATGATGCATGATGTAACTGATGATATCTGTGTGGGTGTCTTCTCGCAGTCCATGATCGGGCATTGCCTTGGCGCGGCCGGCGGGCTAGAAGCCATTGCTACCGTCGAAGAACCACCGGCTGGGTGCATCCGACCATAAACCAATTCGTAAGTTTGCAACGAGATACAAGTTCAGTAAATTTACATCTCTGAAACTACTGGTCCCCGAGAAAATGAATCAAGCTTCGAATGAATTTCTATCTTGTTGTTATACAAATGTGATGTTTGTACGTAACGAAAGCGTAGTGATATTTATTTATCTATTGGCTTTGCTCTATCGACTGCAGAATCCTGAGCCGGCAGTTTATGAATTTGACATGGCGAGTGGGGTAAAACAGCGGCACGAGGTACACGTCGGTGAGTGGCGAACTGTCAATGCATACAAGTACAGAACTGAATTGCTCCCTCCCTGGCAGTCTGGCACTGGTGTAGTGGTGATGATGACGAGTTCCTCCCTCTGGCATGCAGGTATCTCCAATTCGTTTGGATTTGGTGGGCACAACTCGGTGGCAGTGTTCGCACCGTTCAAGCCCATACCCTGGTGACTTGTGAATGGCTATGAGTGGCCAAGACGGTGCGTCGCACGTTTCTGCAGCAACACCACTATACTGCATGTTTTGGTAGAACATGATATATGCCTTCCTTGATGTTTTCTAGCCATAGTGAAAAGTTCCCATACAGAATTGTTTGTTTGTGTTTGTGTAATGCGTTGTGTAAAACGGCAGCATCAAGGGAAAACGAAAATTCGATCTCCCAGGGTCGTCGCAGTAGACAACAGGGCCTTTTGTCATGCATGTATGTATATATGGACCAGATGCTTGGCACGGTGCCACCTTCTGGGCCTTTGTCACGGATGATAGATAATGTTGAAGCTAACGAACGGACTGAGAGAAAAAAAAAGATCACCAGTGCGGCAGCGTTGTAAGATGGATTTTGGCCTGTTTACACCATTTTGCCTAACTTACGTGTTTGCTAGATTTTTTTTTTGAGAGAAGGGTTGGATTTTATTAATAAAGTAAAAAGAACTTTTACATCGTTTGGTTAGAGGTAAATAAAAGGTGGTCCTGTTAGCACATCTTACTATTTATATTTCTGTTTGGTTATTTGGAGAGTTGAATGGAATGATCCACACCTCACTCCTTGCTCCTCACGTGCTCATAATTAGCTTAAGATTGAGCAATAGGTTTCTCCCTCCAAAATTCATAGGATGGTCAATGATGGATCGTTATCATTCTATTTTAGATGAAGTGTTTTCTCAAACCAAACAACCATTAATAGAATAAACGAATAAATAAAAGATTACAAACAAAAATCACGTTCCCCAAGAAGTAGATCTAGTCCTGGATACTTCGTCATGGGCTGCACTTGTTATGTGTCTGGAGGCCTGCTTAGATATAAGAGTCTGCAATGCCTACATATATAGGCATTAGGCTAGCCTGAATGGTTGAGTGCCTGAATGTACTGTATCATGCCACCTTTTAAAATTTAGGAACAATTGTGGAATGAAAAAAGTCTACTTAACCCCTTACCTTTCATACTTGTCTACTTCACCCCCAACTATGAAACCATCTGTTTTACCCCTGAACTTTCTAAAACCGTCTATTTTACCCCTGGACGGTTTTCAGCGGCGGGTTGCTACAGTAAAAACGGTTTGCTACAGTGACAGCGGTTTTGAATTTTTTTATTTTCGGTGAATTTTTGAAAAATCATAGAAAAATCATAAAATGAAAAATCTAATTTTGTTAGACTCCACATGAGTAGATCTACATAGTGAATATATAATACGGTATGCTTTAGTACAAAATTTTTACTGTAGCCTTAGATTAATTGGAAAATCTAATTTTGTCTGTAATTAATTGGAATAATTCATAGCTGCAGCTTTTATGGTCCAATTGTGGTGAAATTTTTATGGTACACTAATTATTGTATGCTTGAACTATACCTCATTTTCAACCCCCTTCTCGAACCGAATCTTTCCTTTCACGGTCTTAGTATCCATTGGGCCCCAGTTCACAATTTGGTTAAGCACTTCAGATGTGGGAAAATTAGTGATAAAGGCATCAGTACCCTTTTTAGAAATCACCCAACTATTTTCAGGTAGTAGTTTATCCAGTTCCACTGCTAATTGATCAGCAGTAAGAGAACCTTCCAAAACACGTACCACAGCTGATTTATCCTCTGAAGTTAATTTTGGATTTTCTGTCACAGGTATAAAATAGAAGCCCAAACCTTCTACTGCATAACCGCAAGGTATAGCAGTAGAGTTTAGATTTTTCAAATTTGGACAAACTTTCTTGACATGATCACCAAAACATAAATCGCAACAAAGCACCATGGTACAAACGGACATTGTATGACCTTTAGTATGGCAACGATAACAATAAGGTTTGCCCTTGCTTTTATGGTTCCCTCCTTTATGAGATGACTCTGGCACATGTAGCATTGCATGAGCAGGATTTAAAATTGGTGGACACGGTGTTCACCAACTGATTATCAATTGTAGTCGGCGCTCGCCTTGCCCGTTGTAGTTTGTATACGTTGATCGCATCACGGGTTTAAACCCGGTCTATCGCCTCACCCCCCTAGACTCCACTAGCCCCCCATTCGCTTTGACCGGTGGTGACCACCAGCTACAACACCTGGCTTTGGTCGAGGATGGCCATGACTCCACTGCACCGGTGGCATTGGTTGGTCACTGTTGGTGCTCCGACCAAATTCTGCGCGGCCGTGGCCATTGTGGTAACCATACCGCCGCTCGACCATTTGTCGTGTATGGGCAGCCGTAGTCGTGCCACACTGGTTGGAAGGCCACTTGCCCTCCCGCTGCAGCTCCAGTCATCATTGGTCGGCCACCGGACACGACCCGGCCCGACTACGGTGGCCACCGGCATGACCCGATCGGGTAATGTGGCTGTCCACCGAGGACCCCTCTAGTCGGATGATGACCGCACCAACAAAGCAGCTCCTGCACGCTCAAGGCGTCAAAGCCATGGTAGGCCCCGGATGACGCCCGATCTGCTGGAAACCTCCGTGATTAGGTCCATAACCCTGTCGTCTAGGGTTCCAATTTCCACGGCCACAGTGCGCGCCATAGCCCTCTCCGAATCGACCACCTCCACGGCCGTGGCCATGGAAGACGGGATTATGATTCCCGTAGTGAAAGTGCATCTAGCCCTTTAGTGAGTTTTGGGTGATTGAATGACAACACGATTAAAGTACTAACATGTTTGTTAAGTGTTAGACAGGAAATTGATTATCTCACAGATACTTGATGAAATTGTATAAAGCCAAAAATGATGTATTGTTGTATAAACAATCTAGTTCAAGCACAAGACAACAATGCAAATGGAAGTCATGCAAAGGCTTATTTATTGTGGGATTTCAATGATCTATGTGAAAGCAAGCACGATAAGAGTTAATTAATGAGACATGAGGAATTGCATATGGAATGGTCTCATATTTGAAGCTTGCTAAATTAAAATGAAAAAGGCAACAATACAAATGAATGGTTGATTTAATACAAGATGTGACTTGACGGCTTGAGATGGTGAAGATAGCAAGAAAAGGCTTCGAGGTACTAAGCAAGGGTGAAGGGCAAGCGATGGCTTGATGGCCGAGGAACCTAGCTAGGGTGAAGAAGAAAGTACTTACATTTAGTTGAGATACTAATCAAGCTATGATGGTCATATTGATGTGGAGGATCAAATCTATATTGGACAAGTTGATTAAAGTGACTTGATGCATTTGGAGTTATTCATATTTGATGAATGGAATCAAGTCATGTGCTCAAGATGGCTATGCTCAAGTGACAAGATCAATATTGACATGTTGGCACCCTCACTTGATGAAGATTGAAAGACACGGCATCAATTTAAAGAAGATCAACTCAAAAGGTTTAATTTCATTTTTCTTTTGATCTTGAGTTAATAGGTATGCCGTACTATTAAGAGGGATGCAAGTTTAAGTGGTCTGAGGAAGATAGAGTGCTCAAGCATAATAATTAAATCAAATGAGAGACACTCTAGCACTTCACGAGCACATAGAATAATTGTCGGTGTCGGAAGTCCCGACGTAAGCCGGAACTCCCGACAGTCGGAAGTCATGACTCTTGCCGGAACTGCTGACTCCCAGTCATAGCCTGCGCGGTGACTGTGGACGTCGGAAGTCCCGACGTGAGTCGGAACTCCCGACAGTCGGAAGTCCCGACCCAAGCCGGGAGTCCCGGCATCGATGGTTCTACTGACCTGCTGCCTGTGCTCGTCGGAAGTCTCGACGTTCGTCGGAAGTTCTGACTGTCGGAAGTCCCGACCCATGTCGAAAGTTCCGACGTTGGCTGTCTCGAGTGGACTTTGACCTCGCGTGAACAGTGTTTTCTTCATACGTCAGAAGTCCCGAGATCTGCGTCGGAACTTCCGACGTAGATCTGAACGGTTAGATTTTGCCTTGAAGTATATATACCCCTCTCCTTGTTTCTAACCGTTGCCCACTCATTTCATTGCGACGAACACTCGGCCAAAACAGCCCCCAAGCATTCTAGGCTCTCCTCTCTTCACTCCTTTGCTTCCAACTTCGATTCCCAAAGGGTTTGAGTGTTTGGAGAGTGGATTGAGAGAGAAAATCACTTTGAGCAAGTTTGAGCACTTGATTTCTTCGTCAAGCCGGTTTGATTTGCATTTGTTACTCTTGGGGATTGTCCCCTAACCGGCTAGGCGTCGCCCAAGAGCTTCCATCTTGTGGAAGAGCCTTGGGAAGTTTGTATTACCCTTGTTTTCTAATGAAGAAACTCAAGTGGCCTTTGTGGTATCCTTGAGTGAGGCAAGGAGGTGGAAGAGACTCCGACCAAAGTGGTCACCTCAACAACGAGGACGTAGGAGATCCTTTGTGGGGCTGCCGAACCTCGAGATAAATTTTTGTCTCCCGCGTGCTTGTTGTTGTTGTGATTTGCTCGAAATTACTTGTATTTGGTTGTCTCCCTCTCTCTAGCTATTTCTTAGGGTTTGGAACTCGATCTACGGAGTGGTGGCTTATCAACGTCAAGAGAGTGACCCAACACCTTACCTTACCACTAGGAAGTGGGTTTGTAAGTTATCGGCATCACAA